TCACGCATACACGCACGCACTCACGCATACACGCACGCTCGCATGCACACATGCATGCACGATGCACGCACACACGCAACGATGCACACGGGCACGATGTATGCACGCACACACACACATACGCGCGCAGCCATGCACTCACGCACGCACGCAGGTGCGCACGAACGCACACAGGATGCACGCACGCGCACACATACATAGCAGCATACGCAAGAATTATGCTGAACGGCTGCATTGTTTTAGTGTTAACATGGTTCATGACAGATCCTAGATAATGATCCATAATCTATAAATATTATAAGTATACTCTGTACTCGAAGCATGCCACATGCCAGCAGGTGAGTGTAATATTCTCATATTGAAATATTTGTTGTACACTTACTAGCAGTGCAAGTGTGGTCAAAGTCTTTGTTTAACTGCTTCCGTGTAGTACATTATGTACGAATTAATTAGACCACAGGCGCCTTAATTGCCTCTTGATCTTGATCATAATGACTACACTTGACTTTTCTTCGATAGTATAGCAGCAAAACGTTTCTAAACCCACTGGCAATAATTACTTCTTAAATAAAAAACACTCATTACTGGCTAATTTGCATTAAACTGCGTTGATCCATGCACACATTTTAAGGCACTTTAGATGTCACTATAAGACCCATGAACTTGCATCTTCCCAGGGCTCAGGAACATTCCAAGAGAAGGATAAACCTCATGTGAAGACGTTTAGAGAGCGGCCCGCCATCAGTCGTGACATGGACTCAGACGAATTTGAAGACGACACTCCCACGGGAAAGTCTAAGAAGTTACAGAGTCAGCTGGCCCCCGAACTGTCAGACCTGGTAATCTATTGCCAGGCAGTGAAATTCTCAGGTAAAAATTTCCCATTGTCAAAGTTGTGGAAAACCCTATATTGGTGGTATTATTAGCATATGTCTATTTTATCTGACATAATTATTTAGTATTTTTTGGTCATGTTCACCTCGATCTTTAAGACTAAATTAACAATTTTGTCGGTATTTTTACAGCCATATAACAAACCATTCTGTTGTATGTGTACACTGTGTAGTTTCATTATCTTTATTTACTAACATTTCCATAAGCTCTCTCACTATGACCTTTGTATTTATGCGCTATTGTAATATGTCAGTGGATGCGATATATAAAAAGAATTTTGCTTTTATTACCGCACAATTGCATCAGGTTTGGCAAGTAGTCCGAATAGTTCCATGAAGCAGAAAAGCAAGATTAAAGACAGGAAGACAGTACGATCCTCAAGTGCCTCCAACTCATCGCCTAACACACCTCCACTACATACTGCATTCAGTAAGTATGCAGTTAATTGTTATCTAATGGCATATCCCAGCTCATCACTGCTTCCACATGCTTATCACCAGGGTTTGTAGCGGGTCTTCCAAAGTCTTATAAGTACTTATTTTGCCACAAAAAAATAAGTGCCGCTTAATTAGTACTTATTTGTTGGTGGAAATGCTTAGAAAGTAGCTTAAGTAGGCCGTTATTTTTGCGCAAAGGTAATTGTTGTTATAAACTGTTCTGGCGCCTTAGAGGTAAGAATTGTTGTATATATAATACGGACATCAATTAAATGCTGCTTGTGCAATTGTGAATATAAATATTATGTAGTGTACTTTAATAGTCTGGTGATCTATGCAGTAAAATCGCGTAAAAAAGCTAGTTATTTGGTTTGCCAGAAAAAGGTCTTATAAGTCCTTCATGTTCACCCACTGTTGTCTTACTACTACGAACCCTGAGATTCACATATTTATCACATGCTTATTCACATATGGTCAGCCTGCTTATTACTTATTTCATGCAGTTAGTCATATATGCTCCCTCACATCTTGCGGCAAAGTGATTGACTATGCCACTACTTTTATTGTCTTGTGTTACACTACTCTTCATCTAGACGTCTTGTGTTACACTACTCTTCATCTAGACGTCTTGTGTTACACTACTCTTCATATAGATGCATTTTGTGGGAAGTTACCAATCAAGTGTCTTGTGTCTTGTCTTCTTCTTGTTTCAACAAAAATTATCTTATGTAATGTTAAGCATCAACTATATGTGTCAAGCGTAGTACTTACTGTCCATCAACAAAATGTCTTGTGTTATACTACATTTTAACAAGAATCATGTGTAATATTAACCATCAACTAGATATGTTAAGTGGAGTACTATCATATTCATCATTTTCATCATTTTCATCATATTCTTCATATTCATCATATTCAAGATATGACCTGGGTAGTAATATATCCATCAACAAAATGTGTCATGTGTGTGTGTGTGTGTGTGTGTGCGTGCGTGTGCGCGTGCGTGCGTGTGCACGTGTGTGTGCGTGTGCACGTACGCGTGCGTGCGTGTGCACGTGTGCACGTGTGTGTGCGTGTGCGTGTGTGCGTGCGTGTGCGCGTGCGTGCGTGCATGCGCGCGTTCGTGCGTGTGCACGTGCGCGTGCGTGCGTGTGCACGTGTGTGTGCGTGTGCATGTGCATGTGTGTGCGTGTGCGTGTGTGTGTGTGAGCACGTGTGTCGTCTGTAGTAATTGTTGCGATGAAAATTCGCAGATGAGCATCAAAGCAGGACAGATACAGATCTGCTAGGACTGAACCGAAACTGCAAGCGCCGTTCCACCCGAAGTCCCGCGGTCTGCCACCAGGTGGCGTCTCTCAACGAGAACATGGCTAAAAAGCTGTGTCGAAAGAACCCTCTGGGAGTTATTGCATATCCTTTTTCTGATTGTCTTGAAGTTTTTTTAATTATCGTCTTTTAATCTTGGTTTAATTTTTTACAAACATTGCACCGAGCTGAAATCTATTGCACTCTAAATTAATTATTTTCACAAAAATTACTCCTAATGGCTTTTAGATTTCATTTAAAATTAAAATCTCATTTCAGTTACTTTTCAATTTTCTTTTGGTGCACACCGAACCAAATTCAGTATGAGTCAGATATCCTTAACCTGCACACTCATACAGAGTTACAGTTGATGCGTACCTACCCGGCAGGCATGCGGATAGACTCCTCTAACTTCAATCCCGTCATCTTCTGGGCGTTTGGCATACAGCTAGTTGCACTCAACTACCAGACCGATGGTAAGTACTGGTATATATGTATCGTGAGCAAAGGAGAGTTTATATTCACAAATTTGCAATAAGTTTGAACATATAATTAGAAAAATATATCACAAATCAAATAGCATCAGTTATACAGCTTGTCTAAGCGTTGTGTGCTCACTATATCGAATTTTCTCTCTAGAAAAATTGACGAAACGTTCATATCGACATGAATTCCTCTTAGTAGAACTAGTACTAATTATACTATTTAACCATCAATCTACCAAACCAGTTAATTAGGCAGCCATTTTATCATCCTGGGGGCCGCTGTCAGAAACATCGTAAAGTTAATGCTAATGTTCGGAGGAAATTTGCTGGGAATTTTTCGTTCTCGTAACTTTACGACGTTTCTTCCAACGGTCTTCGATTCAAAGTTACTGTTAAGACTAATTTTAGGACTAACGTACGTTGCTTCTCACAACGAGCCCCTGCACTACTGAATAGCCACAGGTAATATGTTGCGAGTATTTGATTGCTGTCGGGCTGTAGTGGTTGCCGTTGCTTGCTGTTGTAGATACGGCAACACACATCAACACGGCCATGTTTGAGCAGAACAACAGCTGCGGCTACGTGCTGAAACCGTCGCTGATGTGGGACCACAAGCACCTTCTCTACAACCGCTTCAATCCGTGGGACAAGGAGTTTGATGGCATAGTGCCATCCATACTCACCATCACTGTGAGTCACCTTGCCAGTTCATCTAGCTCCCTGCCAACTTTCCTCGTTGCTTCTACCTCGTTTAATCGTTTACTAGTTTCCATACTGTCTCACTTTTCGATTTAATACAGTAGATTAGAAAAAAATCGTTCAAAATGTGAAAAAAGTATGAAAATTGGTACACTTGCATACTTTTGTATGCTCTTTCATTTAAAGACAGGACACACGCGATCCAACTACAACTTCGGCCGCCGTCATTTCTTAAAAAATAGCTATATCTCAGTTAATAATCTTCGTACAGACTTGAAAATTGAATGACAGACGTCATTTGGGTTACTATTTCATACAACAACGTGATGCATGTGATCCAAGGGCGTGTTCGGCCACCATGTTGGATTCAAAATGGCCGCTATAAAAATTACAAACTTAGCAATATTTCCGTTCACTGAAGATATAGAGACGTGAAAATTTGCAGACTGGCGCAGGTTAATAAGCTCTTTCATATTAAAACAAGACACACAAGTTCCAATTATAATTACAGCGGCTATATTGAATTCAACATGGCCGCCATCACATTTTACTCTGCACTTCAAAATGATCAATGACATAGTATAACAGGTATAAACAAACATGGTGAAAATGTTGAATTACCGGTTTTTCTCAGTATATCATAACAAAAACAATGCCAAACTGGCAATCCCCAGTGTGAGAGAGAGATAATTCAAGACAACAAGTTGTAGTATACAGTAGGCTACACAAGAACATGCATGGCAAGCTAAATAATACTATTGTTTAACAGATAGCTATATACGCGCGCGAGCACACACGCACATAACAGGTACCTATACGCCCGCGAGAACGCACGCACATAACAGAAGCTATATACGCGCGCGAGCACGCACGCACATAACAGATACCTATACGCCCGCGAGAACGCACGCACAGACGCACGCACATAACAGAAGCTATATACGCGCGCGAGCACGCACGCACATAACAGATACCTATACGCCCGCGAGAACGCACGCACATAGCAGAAGCTATACACGCGCGCGAGCACGCACGCACATAACAGATACCTATACGTCCGCGAGCACGGACGCGCATAACAGAAGCTATATACGCGCGCGAGCACGCATGCACATAACAGGTACCTATACGCCCGCGAGAACGCACGCACATAGCAGAAGCTATACACGCGCGCGAGCACGCATGCACATAACAGGTACCTATACGCCCGCGAGAACGCACGCACT